ATGGGAGATCTAGATTGCGATGTCCCTGTACTGCAGGTAGTCTGCTGTGTGACTTGAGGTTGCGCGACTAGGGGTCTGATTGACAGGGAAAGGAACAGTCGCAGTGGATTTATTCACAAAGTGACTTGTGTGTGTGTCGGAACTGGATCTTGTTCTCTTCTTGTGCTCCATTCCTTTAACTGTCTGACGGGTATAACGGCGTGCCAGCCTTGATCTACATGTACCTAGCATGTGGGTGGGGGAATTGTTGGGCTACTACTGTACTATAGCGTTATCTAAGGCGTTGGGTTGTAAAGTGAGGCTTCTCAGAGCTTGGGCGGAGATGCACAATATTTGTGGCTTTTACTCTAGGGAAAGCATTCCCTACCGGATGTATGCTTCCCGCGTGCACGCAGGATCCGAGCACGAAGCCTGGGGGCGAAAACGGTTGTTTTGCTGGGGATTCGAGTGTGTGTAAGGACACGTGGAGATGAGTAAAGTTCACGTTCCCTCATGACGATTCTGTGGGCAATGTTACGGCAGAGACACCTAGCGTCGGTGGTTTGATCGGACCTTCCAACCTTGCTGTCTCGTCATTTCGACCGCCTGGCGTAGGCCATGCCAGTAACGCTTTCATGGCCATGGCCAAGGCGTTCTATTGTTTAATGGCCACAGTGGGCTGACAATGATGCCTTCCCACGCTGCCACTGCCTCGGGATCTGCTGAGAGTGCGTCATTGGTCGCGGCCTATGAATCCGCAAGATGGCCGGTACTCCTACCTATGGAGACTAGACGCATGTGAGGGCTAGAACGCGAGCGAGTTCGTTAATATCTGTGCAGCCCAACCAGCGCAGAAAGGGCCGATGAGCAAAACAGTGAGGATTCCCCATCAAGAAGATACCGAAAAAAAAGTAAAAGACCATATGAGCAAGGGTGCGGTTATGAGTACAACAGGTCTACGCGCACAAACTAGGGGCGAAGTTTAGGACGGGCAATGCAAGACAATATGTTACATTAAAACGAAAGTGAAAAGGATACAGGAACAGAAACTTCAATGATACTACAGTGATGACGAGAGCAATATAGGAAGGAAAGGATACTCAACTATCTAAACCAATCCAAGTACTGGCTTCGTCTCCTTCGTGTTTCCTGATCTCATCTTGCTTATTAAATCATCATCTCATCGTCAAAGTTCCTTCCTTCTTTGGTAACAACAACAAAAGCGAATGCATCGAAAGGAGATTGGTGCATCCACCACTGCCCGGCAGCGGAGAGCCCCAAATAAAGCTCGTTCCAGTTAAAAGAAAAGACGCATCATATTTACCTAGGCAACCCTCAACTTGTGAAATGCCAAGTGCGACGACAGCAATGACTTTACGGTTGATGCATTAGGTGCTATGCAACAAGTCCAACTCAAGTAAAAAGCACGTACCTAAAATGTTCGCATCTGAGGCATCATGCCGGTGGCTACACCAGGCGGCATTACCGGTGCACCCGTAGCGGAAGGGCCCAAGCGATGGAACATCTGGACCAGGCGCTCTCCGACACTGGGTTCAAGCTCTGTGCCATCCCTCGCAATCTTGACTTCGCGATTGGCATTCCACGGGTTGCGGAGGCCCCGGGTACGGTAGAATGGTAGACGGTTTGTAGAGACCCACTCAATCTTGAAGGGCTTGCCCCAGCTCTGTGGCACGGCTGAAGTATCGCCTTCGGCTTGTTGGGGCGCCTCGTCTCTGTCAGTCTTGTCGCCTTTGTCCTCACCCTCCTCTTCAGTGTCCGTGTCGGGGAGCTCTGCTTCCCAGAAAATCGTGCCGCGCGCAGAGTCGTCAATGATTCTTCCACGAGGTGCCCATTCTGTTGCTGGGGTCGCGATTGACTTTGGCACGTCTGTCGTATCTGCGATCGTCTCTGGTTTGGGTGCCGAGCCTGTGATAGAAGCGCCATCCTCGAGGATCGGTGACGCCATACGGGCGTAACCAAAGTACTCGCCCGACTTGTTCGCGGAGAAGATGAGGTAAACATTCTCAGCAGACTGGGTTCTGTCAGCCAGCTCTCACAGGCATGGAGTTTGTTATGCACTTACCTGATATGCTTTGTTCAGTGCATCTTCATTGTGAGACTGTGTAGCCCAGATACCGTTCCGAACACTGAGCTCCAGGTCTTGCAGCGTAAGGCTTTTCACAATGAAGTATTTCGTGGCAGTATCGGCAGATGATCTGTGATCTTCAATACTCTTGTGCGATGGTGAGCCGGCCGCGTCTTCTGTAAGATTATCAGTGACACTATCCTGCATCGGTGTCGCCGGCCGAGAAGCGTTCTTTTGCTGGCCTATCATAGCCGAGGGTGCTGTAGGGACGCCTGATGCTGGAGCAGAGCTGCGTCGAAGTCGACAGACTAGGCGCACACCGTTGAAGCGTGAGTCGTGGAATCTGTGCATTGCAGCCGTGCACGATGCTTCCGTGCGATAGTTGACAAACGCACAGTTGCTCTTGGATATCAAAAACAGACTTTCGATATCCTTGGTAGCGTCGCGAGAGAAGTGGTCCTTCAAGGCGACTATCGTGGTTCCAGGTGGGAGATTGCCAACCCAAAGTGCGTGTCCAGACTGTTTCGGTTTGCGAGGCGGCCCGCGAGGTATGGAACTCATTGGCCCAGAGCGAGGTATGGCTATGGTCACATCAGCAACTGCACATACGATACTCCAATAGCATTATGTGTAAGGACAAGCTTCTGTATACTTACCAGGAGATTGCGCAAATGGTGCACCGTATGGAGACATCGAGTCGCCTAGAAAATTTCCAGTGGCCATGCGAACACCCGAGAAGCCGCCATCGACATGCGAATAATCGGCAACGTGGCCTTGCATACCCGTGTTCGTCAAACTGGCCTTCCTTTCATACATCAATTGATTCTGAGTACTGAACCCGGGGTTAAATTGCCCTTGTGGTCCGTATGGCGCCGGATAGTACATGTACTGTGATGCCTGCTGATAGCTCTGGTATGGGGATGGCATCGGTGGCACCCCAGATAGACGGGGCTGGTTTGTCGCGAAGGAAGGATAGGCGCTGTATTGTGAGCCCTGTTGAGGCATGAAGGGTTGTTGGGGAAGCCCAGTAGCAAATCCAGGTCCGTATGAAGCATGTGTGGACATGTTGCTAGAAGTCATCTGTAGGTTCTGTCCGAGCTGGTATGCCACAGCTGACGTGGATGCGCCAGACAACGAGCGGGGTACCGTTTGCGGATTCGTTGAAGCATTGTCGTTGGTGCCATAGTTGGGTAGTGCGCCTGTCATGGCGCCCATGTTCAGTGGTGATGTACCGTGTTCCTGAGGCTGGTGAGATCCGTTCGCATGGGTCGATGATCGAAAGTCGGGTCGTAGTTGGCCATGAGGTAGGCCACTGAGCTGAGAATAGAACGGATCGCTACTGTCTGGTGATTTGAGGGATGTTGGAAATGAACCGGAAGTATTTCCGTCACGCGCAAGACCAGTTGTCGCGTTGTCCATGGCATGAGGCCGTGGACCAGGTGGTAGGTCGCCCATGTGTTGTTGTTGTTCGTAAACGACAGGAAGTGGTACCCACTGTTGGACCCAAACGAAAGCCATGTTAGTCCATATTACAACTCATACAACGAGGTCTAGAAAAACGAAAGTATAAAGGCCCGATTCGAACCAAACTTCCGAACATAGGAGAATGCAACATACCTAATTCTATATCAACGTATCCTTGAAGAGGTGTGGCAACCCGGAAGTGATGAGTACCGAAAGTAAGTCGCTTCCTAGGAGAGATGACGAACAAAGTTTGCCAATGGATAAGGGATGCTGTGAGGTGATCGCATGTAAAAAAAGAAGCCGGCAGGAGGAGAGACCGTTTGAGGGAAGATGAACGACTTCGGTTGATGTACTACCTTGGAGAAGGAGCTCGCTTAGGGCGGAACGAAGATGATGGTCAGAATTACACAACCACTAAGACGGCAGAAGCGATCTCTCAAAGCCCTTATGAGGTTGGAGACGGCGCAACGGCAGGGACCGCAATGGGCAAGCGTACGTGCGGCAGATATTAGGAGCTAGGGTCCCAAGGATGAGCTCATTGATTGGTCTGGTAGGAACGGGAAGGCCACAAGAAGGATCTCGCGAGTTTTCTGCCTCAATCGCCGCTGGCCGCAGTAACTGACCGTAGCTTGATTGGTTGTCGGAAGGCTGGCCGTGGCTGACAGGATTGACGTAGAATGACAGGGTCTGAACCGATGCTCTGGAGGCGAAACGATCATCAAAAGCCCAGCGAGGAGAAGATAATTGGGTGCTTGAGTCAAGGGGTAGTAGAAAACAAGTGTTGCGGACGTGGTATATCATCGGACGTGGCGAGTGATACCGTTTCTAGAATGCCATGGGCCGACAGCGCTGATCACAGACTATCTTACGAAAGCTTAGCGGGCCCTTCCTAGCAATCTCCGGCAGACGGAAATTTAGGGTTTGTTCTGTATACCGAAAAGCAGTTGGCGCGGAAGTGCTCGCGTCAATCTCTTGAATCGAAACTTGCCGAGAAAGTAGAAGAAAGCATTATATTACAAAAGCGCTCCAAGACCATAATACCAGGGTGTCCGCTAGCACCGGCTTGCACTGTAACAATTCTGCCTAGATCAAGATGATGAAGTAATTTGACGCCGTCCATGAGAACGGGCCCGACATGCATGCAAGGCAGGCTGACCAATTGAGGGAGCTACAACGACGGTGGACCAGACGCGACATGCACGAACTGAGCCGCCCAGAAGACTCCGGCCGTTTAGGAAACAGGGAGGAGCCATGGACGCCGCGTGGACAGCATTAGGGCGTCACGATGATGACAAGGCATGGAGCCAGCGTGAGGAGTTGACAAGGGACCCGGTAAAAGCATCTTGGGGCGCTGTTGAGTGGCTTCGTAGTAGGCTGTCTGGGCGGTGGTACTCCCCTGGTGACCCTGCGGCGGGAGTGCGTCGAAACGAGGGTGGAAGAAAGATGGAGCGGGCAGGTATGGCTCTGGGACCTATACAGGTTTAGCGCCGTAGCGCGACGGCGAGACGGTGGGCCGCCAGATGTCAGCACTCGCTTCCATGAATGCGAACACACCAGTGCAAACCAACGCTTGACGAGTTTGCAGTGGGCTCGGCACGCTTTCGGCAGACGGCTGGCCAGAATGGTCCGAAACCGTTTGCTCAAACATGGGAACTGGTTGTGGGCTGCCAGTGCAGAGGGCTTTTCGCCACACCCTCGGCGAGACCGCACCGTGCAAGTGATCTGCGCGCCACAGCACAGCCACCACACTTGATCCCGCGCGGTCATGATCGACACCCGGGCGAGCAATGAACGAAACGTCTGTCCCGTCTGCCAGGGTGCAAGAATGACGATAGTGTTACAAGAATAGATTTGCAGATCTTGAGCTTGTCCAAGTCGACTCGATCAACGTCGGGTGATTTGAGGCTCTCCGCTGTCGCACCGCTGAGCAGCAACAAGAGTGCTGCCAAAACACCCGTCTCCAGTCTAATACGAGATTGCGATGCCAATATGCCCATGGGCCGTGAATTCCACTTACGCATTCCCGGTCACTAGTGATATGGGAAACGTCAAGCTTTGACATCGCGCGCCCACATTACCGCAGTGGCGGTGCTGGCATCCGTTTACAGGGTCCAGCACAGATTCTTCATCGAATCAGCGTCCGGTCGCGAACGCGAGCGTTGGCACTACTGTAGAGCCTCTTCGTATCCAGAGGCCCAGCTGGAACCCTGCGGGGGTGCTCCAAATGCACGGTGCATAGCAACTGTGTCGCGAATTCAGACTCCGGTATAGCCGGTTCGTCCGAATAGCTTTCCCCGACTATCCGTACACGTTTGCGTGTCGTACGATGCAGATGCAGACGCAGTAGTGAAGCGACTGAGGCTGTGAAGGATGATCTTTCGATAAACTGCCCCCGTCTTGAGAAATCTTGCTCCGATAAGCCGGCTGAGACATGTACCTCGCCCCTGGCGATCCGCCGTCACCCCACATATCAGGTTTTGCACGTGTTCGGTAAACGTGGACCCTTGCGACGCAAAATCTAAATACTCCGTTATGTTTGATGGTTCTCTTGCAAGAATAGCTAACAGGGGCTGCAAATACAAATCACGGCTAGTCTACGGAGGAGCACTCATTACTGGTTGCTCATGCATTCGATCGCGATCTGTACATTCGCGAGTGCTGCACAACGTGACCCGGTTGCATACTATGTGGTGCCATTTTGCCACCAAAAGTACATTTTCGTTACCGGTGTTGGCGCGTCGGTCCACGACGCCGCATAAAAGTTCAGCCCAGGGAATATGCGCATGTCCATTTCAGAATGCTGGGGACTTCAAAGTACATATCGGCTGCTCCGGAACGCTCACAGCATATACATACGCTGCCCGCGCAGTAGACACAAACCTTATGGATCCCATACGTGACTTGCGACGTCGGCCTAGTATTGTATAGACTTTGGAACGGGTCGGAAATCCTGCCAATAGAAAATAACCAGTGACATATCATGCGCTCGCTCCAGCTGTTTCCGGTCCTGCGGCTTCCTTTGTGGTTCGCACTACACGAGTGAAGCAGTAGTGCAGGACTGGCTCAGCATATTTGTCAACTGCCGTCAATAACTATTTCTTGTTCAGAACCGGCTTCAGCGCGCTACAAATTCAGTCAGGAACTCTTCAATGTATTGAAAATAGCGTGGTTCTGCGACGGTGTCGTTGTGGCTTCCATCCGGTAGTTCCTTCCAGACTTTTGGTGCTTTGCAGACTTGGAACAATTTAGTCATGTGAGAAGGTCTGCAAAGCAGTCAGCAAACTGGAAGCCTACCGGCAAACGGTCCATGCCTAGGGTATGCGCTTACGGAATGATTTCGTCCTTGAGACCACTGAGGAATAAAATAGGGATCTTGGTAATCTTAGGGAGTGTCTCTTCAGTAGGCCAGATCTGGTGGCAGAGAGGAGTCAAGAAGCGAGCAGGAGGGAAAGCACTACTCCAGGTTAGTGATGACCTCCAACTCTAACGAAGTTACCTACGTCGGTATGAGTTTTTTGATCGATGTAAAGGTATTCTCTAAGATGATGCCGGAGATGTCGCCCTCTCTGAGGTTACGAGCAGCCAGTCCAATGGCAACTGCACCACCGATACTCTGACCGTATATTACAACCTTGGTGTCTCGAAGTTCGTGCCTTTGGCGGATATAGTCCAACCCGGTCTGCGCATCAATCATGAGCCCCTTTTCGTTGGGATTGCCAGAAGACAAGCCATAGCCGCGGTACTGCAACATCAACACATTGCACCGCAACTCATTTTCGAGGATCTTTGCGATGGGAAGCCTGTAGCCGATGTTGCCAGCGTTGCCATGGAACATGAGAACTGTTACATTGCGCGCATGTTGCTTGTTGGCTCGAATGAAGAATGCGCTTAGGGATTCGCCGTCCGGGGTAGGGATAAACAGTTCCTCATAGTCGGTAATGGCGAATTGCGAGGGCCTGGGTACGTTCGTTCGAGCGTCTGGAGGGAAAGCCCGGGGGTATATGATTTCACTATCACCATTAGCCAGATTCCAACGAGGGAACAGAAGATGGTGTACTTTTGCTTGAAGTATAGGAGACCGCTGAGCAGGGCGGCGACACCAGAGGATGCTAGGATGGGTACGCGCAGGTAGGACATGAACGTGTCCAATGCCGAAGCCATGCTCCCTGGTCGGACTTGGGGGTCTGTGGGGCGTAGGATGGATCGGGGCTCAGGTGCCGAACGACTTCGCGAGAATAGCAGCCTAGGTGAGGGAGATGGAGAAGGAATAGAAGACTCGACCATTCGGAGAGCCAGACAGGAAAATGTAGTACGGGGTTACAGTGCGCAACCGCATGTGAGTGAGGCCTAGAGGGTGTCGCATGTTACAGCTAGCGGTTGAGACCAATAGCGAAACGCCAAGGAAAACCAGCCGCGTACCGTCGAGCTGCCTACACCACCACCTGTAGCAGCTACTTACTCACCCCACAGCTTCTCTTGCCTCCACCACACGCTTCTCGGATATTCGGACTTGTCGAACCGCTCCTCTCTATAGTAGACCAGCTCATACTGCGACAATGATGTCCACAGGCATGTTGGGAGAAGGTACAGTTGCCGCTACAAACAAGTGAACTGCGGGAAACTCACACCGCGTAGATGGCATCCATGTCGACATGAACCACCTCAAGAAGGGCGAGGTCAAGTGAGTTGTTCGTGGGCCAAGAGCGCTGCCAGAGTGCTAACAAGCAACCCAGCCTTGGAACATCCATCATGGCCATCAACTTCAAAGACGGCGTCATATTAGCTGCCGACAGTAGGACGACGACCGGAGCATACATCGCGAACCGTGTCACCGACAAGCTCACACAAGTGCACGACACCATCTGGTGTTGCAGATCGGGATCAGCTGCAGATACACAGGCTGTCGCGGACATTGTGCAATATCACCTGGGCATGTACGGTACCACCAACGACGAGCCACCGACCACACAGACTGCAGCAGCCATCTTCCAAGAGCTCTGCTACTCCAACAAGGATCAACTCTCGTGAGTAAGGCACGGCCGTGCGACTAGCCGTCACTGACGTAAATGCAGAGCTGGACTCATTATTGCCGGATGGGACCACCGCCACGGCGGACAGGTATACTCGATTCCCCTCGGAGGCTCCCTGCACAAGCAGTCATACGCAATTGGCGGCTCAGGCTCAACATACATCTATGGATACTGCGACGCAAACTGGAGGGAGAACATGAGCGAGGAGGAAGGCATCAAGTTTGTCAAGGGCGCGCTCTCAGAAGCCATCAAGTGGGACGGCAGCTCGGGCGGTGTGATCCGCATGGTGGTGCTCACAGGCAAGGGCGCGCAGAGGCATCTGTACCTGCCAGACCAGAACTACGACGGGCCAGGCAAGCAGTAGAAGTGGTCGTCATGACGGTGGTGGGTACATAGGCACACCATGTATGATATAGCACGACATGATGATGATACCTAAATGAGCGAAATGAGACAAAAGGAATCCATGGCTACCATGATGCACCGGAACTCGGGCAGTAGACGTGGGATGGAGGCGCAACCACTGGCCAATCAACAGCCAGCATTAGGGCATTCGTCGCCGGTGTTTTTTTTTTGGGTGTGGCCCTGTTCCATCCATTCTCTCACGTGGCGGGACGGTCCGAATTGCAGAGGACCGTCTCGAGTGTTTTGCAAATGGTGGCGGTATGCGTGCAGTGCCGAAAAGAGCGAGAGTAGATGCACAGTGTCGTCACATGCGTTTTTGGACGGTGCAGGTGAATTGCGGCCAGGGTCTCTTGGGACCTCGCCAGTCGTTGGTCTGTGACGTTCGGGTTCCCCACGCCTTTGTCGAACAACACCTCATCACTCTTCACGCTGGAAGCCCATTCTGCGCGCATCCTCACCTGTACCTTGACTCGACGCGCGCCGTCCAATTTACTTTGGCTACGGCAGAGAGCAGCAGGCTTGCCCGCGACACCTGCGCCCCTTTAAGCTGCGTCCAACTTCGGGCTCTTTCCGATAAGGCTCAACAACACGACCGACATCTCTCACCGATCCACTCTGCCTCGCAAGCACACTCCCTGGTGCACCGCAAGCCTTCGCTGTGCCGCGCCTTCCCCCACGTCAAGACCCGCTGCACTCGACGTCCCTGCGCAGCCTGGTTTCGCGGAATGACTTCGCTTTTGGTGAGCGACTTCGGTGGGAACCACTTTCACACCAACATGTTTGGCGGCGGCAGCACGCATCAGTCACAAGAGTCTCCTGCCGGGCGTCACACTCCCGTACGGCCATCGCCGCCTTCGAGCACCAATGCGCCGCGCGTGGTAGCTCCGTCTGCTGATGTTCCCATGGCCGATTCGGCAGCCCCGCAGTCGAGCTCAACACCAGGCCAGCGATCGCAGCAGCAAAACAGCTCCGAGCCCAACACCACCGCACCCGCTGCCAAACAGGCAGCACCGACGCCCCCCAGTCCGCACTTTCGTCCCCACTCACAACAGCCGACCCCGTCGGGCGTAGACCCCGCCTTCACAAACACCCGAACCGTTCCCCCGTCAGGTCCAGCACAGTCCTTGCGATCGCCCGAAGCCTCTCCTACCAAGATAAAAGTAAAGAGTCTGTCGCATATCCAGAGCTTCGCCATCGATGAGTCCAGTCCCTTTTCCCAGTCGCGCTCGCTTGCACGGCGGCAGCGACGAGACCCTGCAGACGTCGGGCCTCAGTACGAGATCAGCGAGATGCCCGTGTCAGACATAATCGAAATGGTAGCTGGTTTGCTGACCAAGATCACGACTACCAACGATCGGCAGCACGACCATCTGCACCGCCAAATCCCGCCATCAGAGGGCACCTCAGGGTTGAGCCAACAGACAACCAGCGTCTTGGCCTTTCATGGAAAGAACGTCCCTAGTATTTCTATCCTCAGCTATCTGAGTAGAATTCACAAATACTGCCCAACCACCTATGAGGTCTTCCTGAGTTTACTCGTCTACTTCGACAGGATGACAGAGAGGGTAAATGCTGGCCCTATGTCTGGTCTTCGCAAGGCTAATCAACAGTCTGTGGAACAATCAAAGTCTGCAATGTCAGCGGCTTCGACTCCGGCAGATAGCACACGACCTGCATCAGCTTCCGCTCAGGCGGCCACGCCTCCTCCGTCGGGCTCCCTAGGCAAGCCCTCGCAAACACCACGCGAGGGCCCTCAGCCGCCTTCACCACCTCAGCAAGATCTCGACGTGGACGCACTGAACCTCTCACACTTTTTCGTTGTCGACAGTTTCAACATACATCGTCTCGTCATAGCCGGTGTTACGTGCGCCAGCAAATTCTTCTCTGACGTCTTCTACACAAACTCGAGATATGCCAAGGTTTGTACTCGGCGATACAAAATATGTAAACGTTTGCTAACAACATCAAGGTCGGCGGTCTACCGTTAGTTGAGTTGAACCACTTAGAGCTGCAATTCCTGTTATTGAACGACTTTCGCCTCGCTGTACCCTTGGAAGAGATGGAGGCGTACGGAACAATGCTGGTCGAGTTCTACGCACGTGAAGTTGCTGAGCAGCACGAACGGGAAAACGGTGTGAAACAGTGATACAGCAATCGACTTGTACAGAGTACTTGCCACGGTTTGCTTCCATCAGATAAGGTGACACAACAGGAGGCGGCAGAGGAAGCATTGCGGGTCCATGCCGAATAAGCAGGGAGACCCTTTACGTCGAGTTAGAGAGGCCAGAGGATACCACTTTTGCGCGAACCATACTCCGTGTATGGACTGTATATGTTACGGCATATTTTGAACAGCCAGAATCTTTGCATTCTGAACTAATTTGAAAGGGAAGACATCATCCCGGAGCCCAGGAGACGACTTTGTTCAGCTTGGGTCAGCATGCGAGCGAGTGTTCTTCCTTAGGTGTGCGTAGATTTGGGATACCAACTGTTTGTCTTTATTTCAAGAGAGATTGATGACATTACGCCAGAGTCTCATTGTTCTGAGCTTCGTTTACCCTGCCTTCTGTATTCTTGTTTTGATACCTTTTCTGAACCATTAGGGTGGCGTTTATAGAGGTGCAATCCCAGAAATTCGCTTTGATGCTACCTGTTGATAACTCGATAAGCTTGATCGCTGTGTTCTTGCTTCTGACCCAAGAAGTGAAAGTGCAAGGAAGATGATAATCATTAAACAAGCAAGTCTACGAACTGCGGATGAAGTAGCAAAGTACATGTGGAAAGTAAAGCGCCCAAAGTCTCGGGAGAAGCATTCAGCCCCTCCATTCTAGATCTCCTAACCCTCACATCCTAGACCAGGATCCAGCATAACACGATCCACGCGCGCAACCCCTGGACGCAGATTACATGCAGAACCGACCGGATCACATGTGGTCATGACACATGGCCCTTGTTCCCTGTCTTTGCATCTAGCGCATCAGCCCGTGTTTATATAAGCCAGGGGTAAAAGTCGGAAAACGATGCATCCAGCGCATCCAGCCACAACAGTAACTCACCCAAACACTGTTTGGAGGCCAGACACACTCGGGCAAAAATGCACATACCGTAGGGCGAACACTCAACCTCGATTTATTCTGACGCACTGAACACAGGTACGACAGCATGACACGTGGGGTGGTGCGGGATGTGGACTAGGACCCTTAATATCGGTGATAACATAGCCACCTGGGTGGGGATCTCTTTTTCCCTAGTTCTGTCTAGTTCAGATTTCTTTTGAAGGGGGAGTGTTGGATGTGTGTTTTCCACAGCACTCTTTAACGCGCTTTCTCGGTTCCAGTGCTTTTGTCCTCTGCGGTTCGGATTTGCTCGGGTTCGGGCTAGGGTCACTGTCGTTATTGTTCTTGCTTGCTTGCGGCGTGTCGTTTGTGCAATTTTTGCGATGCAGCGTTCCTCCTCCGTATCGTCATCGTCGTCGTCCTCGTATTCGTCCTCACTATCGATAACATCATTCGTTCAATATGCTTTCCTCGCCGCACTAGCATATATACTCGCTGGTGCGCCTTTGTCGACATTGCTTGTCTCACGTACGAATGGCGATTCAGCGTTGTCAGGCAGTAGTAGCCTTGGTGCGGAAAAAGGTGTTGATACAATATCCAAGTTGGAAAATCTGGTTATTCCAGAGAAGAACTTGAGTTGCGCGGCGCATGCATACAAAGGAGTTTATGTCCTGAGCAGGGAGCCATTGGTGGTGTACATTGAGGGGTTCATTGGTGAAGAGGAAGCAAAAGAAGTTGTGGCATTGAGGTATGTAAGTTTGGTACCTTGTTCTAGTCTTTGCATATGGACAGAAATATATCGCTCACACGAATCTTCCTGAGTTCGTGGAGTAGCATGTCCTGTCTTGGCCAAGTATAAACAACATAGCGTGTTTCCTCTTGCGTCTTTGTCTTTCCCTGAGACTAACAAAGCCCACTACAGTAACCCGCATTTCACACCCTCAACCGTATGGACCTCCGGCACTGAGTCCCTCAATCCGTCAATCCGTAACTCGGAAAAAGCTCCCCTACCCCGCAGCCAAACAGTGAAGTGTATTGAAGAGCGCGCTCGCGTTTTTCAAGGCTGGCGACCCTACACTTTCATTGAGAAACTATGGAGCCAGAGATATGGCGTTGGAGGCCACTACACATACCACTACGACTGGAGTACCGCGACTAAGAAGAGTGGACGCGTCAGTTCTTTTATGGTGTATTTGGAAGCGAATTGCACGGGTGGTGGAACACACTTTCCGCGTTTAGAGAGGCCTAAAGATGGGAGTTGGTGTCAATTTATTGAGTGTGGTGACGGTGCTTCTTCGACAGATGCAGATCTCTCGGCGAATACTGTGGAAGACGGACGGCCCAAGGAAGATCTAAGCAAGGGGGTCATCTTCAAGCCTATTGCTGGGAATGCGGTGTTCTGGGAGAACATGCGGGGAGACGGGAGTGGGTATGCGGAGAGCTGGCATGCGGGTTTACCTGTTACAAAGGGCGTTAAGATCGGACTCAATATATGGAGTTGGCTAGCTCAGGGGTATGTGCCGGTGGAAGAAGAGTCTTGAGGAGACGGGAAAAGGATGAAGGAATCATAGAAGAAAAAGGCAGACCTAGAGGAAAACCTACGCAGGGATTAAATGTGGCTCCAGAGAAAAGAAGGGGCAAGTAGTATTGGAACATGGCGGAAGAACTTTATGAACGTCCATTCGAGTACACAATGACGCCACACATATTTGGCATGTTACGCAGCCAATGCATACGCTTTATAGTACCGTGTCAAGTCCACACATGAGCAGCCTTGAGGACCGCAGAACTAGTGAGATAAGGAGAAAGACGGCTCATGTTCAATCTGGAATCAACAATCATTTCGTGTTCTCATCCTAAATACTTCTCCTACAACTTCAGCCCCCTCGATCCCTCCACGTCAACAACGACGACCTGCTCGATATGCCCCGCACTCTGACCAAATGAGAATTCATACTGTCCTCGATCGACAGTCCACTTCCCCTTCGCCTCATCGAAGTAAGCAAAATCCTTGTTCGCACACTCAAGCTGCACAATGGCTTGCGTGCGAGGTTCCAAGTAAACCTTCTTAAAAGCTGCCAATGTTTTGACAGGATGCTCAGCCGATCGATCTTTCCTGCCGACATATACTTGGACAACCGTAGCTCCAGCGACATCCCCTATGTTCGTGACCTCGACGTTAGGCGCAAATTGATCAGGCGTCGATTGAGGCACACGTGCATCAGTGAGAACAAAGGTCGTGTAAGACAGGCCGAAACCAAAAGGAAAGTGGATTTTGTCTGCGGCGATGCGGTCATAGTGCCTGTAGCCTACAAAAATACCCTCTTCGTACCTGACAGTGAGCTGTCCCTTGTCGTCCCGAGTGCCAGGGAAGTTACCGTGTGCCGGCGCGTCTTCGATGCGTTTGGGCCAAGAGATTGGAAGGTGACCGGAGGGATTCACGGTGCCAGATATGATATCTGCGATGGCATTACCGGCTTCTTGGCCAGGGAACCATGCTTGTATCAAAGCGCAAACCTTGTTTAACCAGGGTAGGGCAACGGCCACACCCGTTGAATTTACGACAATGGTCTTCGAGTTGACTGACGCGACTGTTTCTACGAGCTTGTCTTGTGAGCCTTCGCGTGGTAGGTTGAAGCCAACTTGATCCTGGCCTTCGGTTTCCCATACAGGTGTGTGTCCTGTGAAGACGATGGCGATGTCACATTCTTTTGCGAGGTCCTTCGCTTCTGCGGCCATGTCTAGGTCGTGCTCTTCCTCATACATGAATCCCAGTCTGAAACCTGGAAGACCCGAGAGGATGCCTTCATCTGACTCGCCGGCGGGTGGCTTCGAATGAACCTGGATCTTGTATGACTCGCCCTTGGTGAACGGCACACGAAACTCTTTCTCGGGGTTTCCGCCGAAGAGGAAGCCCATCGGGTCCGGAGAGTTGTGCTTCTGTTCATATACGACTTTGTCGTTAACGTGTACGACTGTGGGACCGATACCTGAGCAACCCAAATAATGCGAGCCAGACTCACGGGGCGTAAAGGTAGTGGTAAATCTAACCTCACTGTCTTTGGCGTTTTGCTCGAGCAGAGGTGTAAAAGCGGCTTCCTTATTGCCGTGCTTTGTCTTAATGGGCTTACTGGTGTTGCCCTTGTTGAATAGTTCCATGGTCCAGCCATCTTTCCCCTCGGAGTCTTTGCAGCCCTTCGATAGAGGAGGGATGAGACGATATGTAGCTGCACCTTTTGCGAACCTGAATTCTACATCGTCGCCGTAGGCAGCCTTAAGGCCCTCCTCAGGAGTGATGCGATAGTGGGCATTCAAAGAAGCACTTCCACCACCATGGATAAGAGCCTCCTTTGCTAGGCCAAACAGACCAATTGTCTTACCCTTGATCTCCTCTCTCTTGAGTGGCAGGACACCGTCGTTTTTCAAGAGGGTGATGCCCTGTCCTGCCACATCTCGAATAAGTTTACTGTGCTTTGGATCGACAATAGATTGCTCAGGTGGGATTTCCGGGTTCTCGAAACCACCGACTTGTTCGATAAGCCTCAGCACATTTCTCGCTCTTTCAGTGATGGTGGCTTCGGTGACATGTCCCTTCTTCACAGCCTCGAGGACAGTATCAGCACTGCGCCACCTAGTCGGTCCAGGCATTTCCAGATCCAGTCCAGCGTTCAATGAGTCGGCCGTAGAGTTGACACCACCCCAGTCACTCATAACGAGCCCGTCCCAGCCCCATTCGCCGCGTAAGACCTGCTTAAGAAGGAATTCATTCGAATCTGCGTGTGTTCCGTTGACCTTGTTGTACGCTGTCATAACGGCGAGGGGACTGGCCTCCTTGATGGTGATCTCAAAAGGCTTCATATAAATCTCTCTCAGCGCACGCTCAGAGACGATCTCATTGACCTTTAGGCGGTCCGTTTCCTGCTCGTTAGCTGCGAAGTGCTTGATAGTGGCCGCGATGCCTTTCTCTTGCAGCCCGTTTACAACGTTAGCGGCCATCTTGCCAGCAAGATACGGGTCTTCTGAGAAAGATTCGAAGTTACGGCCACCAAGAGGATGTCTATGGTTGCACATAGTAGGTGCAAGACTGGCGCTTTGTCAGCATGCGTCGTGTGTGTATATTGATATCGGCAGACTTGCAGCACTCGAGCACTCTTGGTCTTGGTCTCCTCTGCCAAAGCATGACCTATGCGCTTTGCGTTTGCAGGATCCCATGTCGCGGCTGAACATACTGCTGCAGGAAAACATGCAGCTCGTGTGCCTCCTGTGAATACTTCACCTCGGGCACCGTTGGGTCCATCAGACGTCTATTTTACTATGTCAGTAGCTGTAAAGTATGGTAGATGGTACGATCGCAGGTCCTACCTTAATGGCGGGGACACCCTTATCCGGTATAGGTACTGTCTCCCAAAAGTCCTTTCCAGCAAGGAGTGATATCTTCTCCTCTAGTGTCAAGGACTGGAGGACAGTTTCAACCTTCGCACTCATGTTTGCGTTAACGCGGGGCAGAAGAATGATCGCTCAAAAATCCAAAGAAGTGGTGAGATGGCTCACACCCTATCGTCTATTCTGCCGTAGTAATAGATGTACTCAACAAAAAGAATAGGTAATCGAAAGGGTATCAGCGCTCTATGCCACAACCGAAGGTGCACAATCCGTCACTATATGTACCCCAAGGTCTTCCGCTCTTCCCCATTCCCATTCGGCAACACTGACCGTGTCTCCGGCAGGCACACCATTGTCGTGCCCATCGGTACATCGCAAGACGCTTGTGTGGAGAAGCAGAAGTGCGCATCATTGGCGCAATGCAGGATCTACCGTAGTGGCACTCGTAAGCGTGCCGAGGTTTTGCCATGCGGACTGCCTGATTGAGGTCTGATTCGTAGCCTGCGGTGCGAAGCGGCTTGGAGATTCGCCGAGGTTTAGCCTCTCGGGATGCAAGTCGCTTACCGACTCGAGGTCAGATGATATGGGTACGCGCAATACGAACGGGCTGCATGTTGAATTGGGAAAACCACGAGAGACGGAAATATGGCAGACGGGTTGCTCATGTTGCTGCTGGTGGATTTAGTCATGTTCGGATGCGGCAACCTCCCGAGGCTCAGACGGCATTCATAGTGGGACCCACGTGTCTTGGCTGGCAGGCAGGTGAACATTTGAAAAACCATACGTCATGTTGTGTACCCGAAAGAATTGCGATCTCTAAAGCTTCGAATTATCTTTCTTTGGCATCCTTAGATTTCAGCTTTTCCAGGCGTCGCTCCATTCTTGTACATATTACAATTTCCAGCACACGGCATGGCTGCATCATCGAAAAAGCCCGGAGAAGTCGAACCCACGACGAGCCGGCGGCATCCGCTGCAGCGTTTCGACTCACCATCTAAAGGATTTTCTGGCGCGTTGCACGTAAGTGACGAAGCAATACGTGTACGACCAGGAGTAGGCAAGGTCAGATGTTGACATGATTTGCATTGTAGGTCGCTGGTCTGATCAGCTTCTATAGTTCCTTCAAGTTGTATGTGCTGCTTCTATCAATTCCGTATACACTGCCAGCTAACATATATGAAGTCTAGTTGATAATCCCAATATCTTCGTATGTACCAAACTGCTACTCGTCCTAAATTGCACTTGAATCTCTATTTTTGTTATTCAATATCTGTTTCATATATGAAACAGCAAACTTCCCAACCCTATATCCACTCGTACATTGCTTAGCCATGCAGCTCAAGTCAACAGTCTAACGAATCGCCAGAACTTGTCTTTCGGCTGGCACCTCCAGTTTCTGACCATAATCGGCCTTTCCCTGTCTACAGTAACATTCATCTTCGGTCTTATCGCAGATCTCACCTCGACCGCCCTCTCAAAATCTCCTTCTCTAAATTCAGATCCACCCGCGATAGCTCTTTCTGAGCACCTCTTCCGGTTGAAGAACTACCTGGCCTTGGTAGCAGCGCCGATCGAAGTCACTATCAGCGTACTATACTGGACCTTGAAAGCCATTGACGGGAAACTTCTGGTGCCTCCGGATCTACCACTACCACCAGCCATCTACGATCTGGGCTTCCATCTTGTCCCCGCTGTCGTCCTGACGCTCGATTATGTCCTCCTCTCCCCACCATGGCCCACAACGCCTATGAACGAATCTGCGCCAATGATCACTTTAGCCCTTTCTACCGTTGTCGCTTTCACTTATTGGATTTGGATTGTAAGAATTCCGCCCCTCTCCCCCATAGAACACTCAGCTCACCATATCTCCCAACTAGGAAATTTGCTTCTCCCAGAATGGCTTCTACCCCTACCCCATCTTTGCGATACTTACGACAAACCAAAGAATCGGTTTGTTTGTTGTAAGCGGGGTGATTATGTGGGTCGTAGGCGGATTGTTGAGAGTGTTGTATGCGAAGATAAACGGGTATGAGAGTGTGGAGCACTTGGAGAAGGTGCGACGGAACAAAGTCATGGGGGGTAGTGGGAAGTGGGAGTAAAAGAGGGGAAAATGTCCAGAATGATTTGTGAGAAGGCGAGTAGATGAAACTATTGAGGATGTTGCGATGCCGCAGTAACATTGAAGTGGGGGGCACATGTGAGCTGGGCAGAAAGTAAAGGACTACGTGTGTATATGAGACCGAGATAGTACAAACGCGGATCGGATGTCTATACCGTGCAGTTCATACGGATGTAGCAGATAGCACATTTGCTTCTATCACAGCTCTTGTATTATTATGTAAACGAACAACCAGCGATACTGTACATGACCACCAGCTTCTCACCAGCAAGCCCATGTTTGCGATGAAAGTTTACAGTAGAGTGAGGCATAGAAATGGAAAAGAACATGCCTGAGTATCTGTCCAGCGATCCCGTAGCGTGTCTCTCAAAGGAAATCATACTACATTATACCGTATGTCGATAGTCATCGCGGTGTAAATTATGTAACGCCATGTAGGAATCGAACACCAAAACGCAACGCATGAAGGTAAGTTGCACGCATAAGCCGGTAGATGGAACAAGTGTGAAAAGTGGGTATCCGTTGCGACATGATGACAGCGAGGGGTAAGTGTCGCATCGAGGAGTTCAAGGGTAGCTCGGCATAAGTAATAAGCACTCAGCTCGTAGATGGCGAAGGCGGCGCTGTAATCGTGCGTTGGTCATCATCATCCTGATCATGTTGGTGATAGGCGCTTGTGGTGTTGTAGAGATGGCTAGTGTACTGGAAGGCCTGCTGATCAGGACCAATGCCATAGGAGTAGGTGGGATACTGGTAGCCATTGCTTTGTTGCCCATCAAAGTTGCTGTAACCTGTCTGATGGAACGGGGGTAGAATGTTCTCCTTGTTCTCGTACTGAAAAGGATCGTTGAAGGATTTGTAGGAAGTGAACACAGGTGCTGGGGAGGGAGATGCTTGATGTGTGAATCCAGACGTGAGATAATTCATGCTGCTGGGTTGCGAGAACGGAACATCATCATTGTCTTGAAAGACTTCGAACCGCTTCCGCTTGGGAGCATAATTATTGTGACTGTGGTGATACCCAGACGGACCGCGGTCCTCGTCGTATTGATTACGACTGAGGAAGGGAAACACAGGTCGCTTGGATTGCCTGGTAGAGCGGCGAGTAGCATTGGCATCAAGATTGGCGAGTGCAGGCCGTCTGCGCACCGGTTGGGGACTCTCAGCTTTTATCTCAGTCTCATCGTCTTCGTCAGACTCAGAGCATGAAATTCTGCGTTGGCGTTTGAAAGTGCCCAATGGGGTGAAGATGAGCTCAGTAGCCTCAACTTCTTGAGAGTTGAGTTCCAGTTGTTCCACGACAGAGCTGTCCTTCTTCTGGTTCCTTTTACGACGCATCTCTGGGGTAGCAGAGTCGAAGATATCCATCCCAGGCCAGTACACCCCCTTGAGTTTGGTTGATTCACTGACGGCCGTTGGGTCCAGGACCTCGGCAGACTCGTCCTCGATAGCATATTTAGCTGCAGCGGTGTACCGGTATGGTCGCCGCCTCTCGCTCGGGTCTGAGTATTCACTAGACGTGTCGTAATCTTGATTGGTGTAGCTACGGGAGCTGGCGCGTGACTCTGTAGGCCAATATTGCATATGAGGCGCGAAGGTATTGCGGTTGCGGAGGACCGGTCCATTAGCCTGGGGCGTCGGCGAAGGTGAATGCTCCAGTTTGATCATGGCATGCTGCTGCCCTGATAGACGCGGATCAAGGAGGTTGCTTGCGGCAGCACGACGTACGGGGCGTGGCACTGGGGCTTCAATCTTGAGTGGAGGCGTGGGTACGGGTCGGGCTACATCGTGTGCGGTCAGTAACAGTCTCAAGTATCATGGGATGTAGGTGAGATACATACAAGTGGTCCTCGCACGAGTGCGACGTTTGTCCTTTTGATTCATCCGCTCCGACATCAGCTCCTCGACAGCCCATTCGGCATACCACTGGTCGTACGTCTCAACGAGGCGGCGAGATGCTTCCTCGTGGGTGGACCGGACTTTGACCTTGTAGTAATTGGACAAGTGACCTTTGCTGGCAATATGAGTGAGTAGATGTGAAACATCGCTGAAGCTGGGCTTTTTGGGGCAAATATTGCAGTGAAGCGGAATGCTGGCCATGCCGGAGGCCTAAGGAGGCTGCAGTAGATGAAAGTGAGAGCCGTAGTGTGGACCCGGCGCTGGTAAGGAGCGTAAGTGAAACAAGCACAAGAGCAGCACAGCAGTGAAGGCAAGGAGCGTTGCAAAAGGAGCGGGTTGATGAGGTGAAGTGGCGGTGGGAGAGGTGCTCATAAGAGACCTGGTACAGAGATGGCTGCCGGTCACTGCGGTAGCTCCTAGCCCATTTCCGGAGTAGATGAGAGGAAAGCAGGAGACAGACGCCAGCACTCGTAATGAAGGAGAGGGGAAGGTGCAGTATTGAAGTAAATGGCGTTCAGCAAGGATGGGTTTGTCGGTGGTGTTCTAGTAGGCAGAGCACGTGGAGAAGCTCGGCCCTAACGAAAGAGGAAGCCACCCTCACTTTCCTCCCACTCTGTGTCTCAACGCCTATGGCAGAAACGCGAGGTATTAGATAGCGGGAGGATGAGAACCGATGAATGAATATTACGTGGGTATGCAAAGAGATATTGGTTAGGAACGTATGTGAATGCAGGCGGGCACCCACCTTACCACCCACGTGTGATTTGACTAGTAGTGGTATCTCACTTGAACATCTACTTACCTAAGCATCTACGAGTGACGGATCGAGGCATGCAGCTGTGAGCAGTCAGTACGCATGATGAACTGGGAGAGTAATGATCACATACTACACAGGGTCTACCTCTTCGAGACCTGGGTATTTCAACAGACTGAGACCAGCAATGCCAAACACGGTATGGAAGACATCAACCATGTCACCAGGTCGGTCTGCGAGGCCACCAAGTTCCGGATCCTGGGATGGTTAGACAGCGATAGATTTGAGGACAAGATAGCACCGACCTGGCACTGCAGGATGAAGTTTGTCAACTTCTGGCCGTCTATCCAATGCAGCTTGTCTAGCATGGCCATGCTGCTCATGACCCACCAGCTGTAGCATACATCCTCCTTCTTCTCCGGGCGGCCGTTGAGGCCTCCGTTCTTGAGTTGTCGTTCGCTTAACCAGGCGCCCAACTTTTCTTGGTTGACAAGGTCAAGTCTCCCCGCGATGGTCAAAGCGCCGACACACGTAAACACCTGACCCGAGTGTGACTCGGCACCCGGGCTGGTGCCGTATCCGCCATCAAAGTTGGCACACGAGTCGACGTATTGAGCAGCCTTTTCGACGTCGACTAGCTCAAGCAAGCCCATCAGAGACAGAGCATTGAGTGCGCCGTAGAGAAAGCGCGTGTCCTGCTCTCCCCACTCGTCACCTGCAAAAGTGCCAGTCTCGCGATGTTGCAAATCGGCGATGACTGCTACTATAAGTACACTATCATGATACATAGATGTACAGATGACTTACACTTTCCGATTTTGAGCCGACCACCGGGGATGCGATCTTCAAGGTCACCGAAAGCGTCAAGCGTCGCGAGTATCTGCACGCCACTAACGGTGTAGAGCATATGGGCATCATGGCCCGGGGCAGCACCGAGACCGCCATTATCATGCATACATGAGAAGACAAAGTCGAGGATAGTGGTGCGCGGGAGAGCATCTGGGTGTCCCAAGAGATGCAGCGCCGTCAGTCCCCAGTAGAGGCCGTTGAGACGCAGATGTTCGGTGAGCCAGTACTCGAGCTCATCTTTGCGCTGGAGCGGGTCAGCGCGGGATTGGATGGCCGGGTGCTTGCGCGGCCAGGCAGAGCAGAGATAGGCTACGCACAGTGTCGAGGCTCTGGATATAGCGGACGTGCTTGTCGACGAAGAGGTGCATCTCGTCGGGCATGCTGGCCATGCCGGCAGCACGCCCGGGCCCAGAAACAAGAGACATGTCAGACAGTCAGATGGGGGTGGTGTTGGTGGGAGCTGGAGGCACGGGAGGGTCTAGTTGTGGTTGCAGGCATGGCGCCGACAGGGGTGGGGCCTGACGCACATTGAGCGAGGGTCTGAATTTGAAACGAGACTTGGCAGACGATCCACGGCTGTACGAAGCATAGCATGTAGCACTTGACAGCCGCCGGGCGCGACAGCCTCGCACACGACGATGCTGCGCAGCGGGCGAGGCAAGTGGTAATGCAGCACCAGCACCGCCAGAAGCCTGCCTTCACCGCCAGACGTGCACTACGCCCGCTGTGGACACCCGTTTGCGCACGATAGTCGATAGCGCCCATGGGCCGAATTTGGGGGGTAGGGGTTTTAGCAGCGTCGCTCCCTCGTACCTGGGGCCGTGCGCGCTGCTGAAGTCGTTGCCGCCATCCTCTCGCAGCCCTTGGTGCCCTTTGCTCGCAGCATTGCAGAGCCTGTGCCTCTTGGGCCAGCCATCATCCCCCCCGCCCACCACCACCATCGACCAGGAGACACGTGAATTGTGTCCTTTTGCTGACCAAGGCGCCGCCCACCGCCCTCGCTCTGCAACGGCCGGCCAAGCCCAGCTCCACTCGCTCCTAGACCTCCAGGGCGGTCTCCAGTTCCCTCTCCCGCGCCCAGAAATAGTCGTCGTTCGTGACTTGTTTGTGAAGTGGGTAAGTAATGCCCGACGACAGCACTGCGACACCCACACACCTGCTTGCACTCGTGCCCGCCTCCCCCCAGCTTGTACCACCGTCAACACTCGCCATAGCGCCGCCCGGCCCCTTTCACGTTCCGCAGCACTTGCTGACCATATCCCAGGCGTTGCATGACCGCCTCATTGCCCGCGATCCAGATACTCGATATCCGAAAGCGAGCACGTCTGGTCGACCGTCGTCACATCTCCGCCCCCGACTCTGGTTGCACGCGCTCGGCATCGTCCATCCCTCCGGGTTCCTGCATGGGAGCAACGTCCTGCCGTCGGTGACATAGACCCAACACTCGCAGTCGACGCATCGAGGCACGCCTACAGAGAGCGCTGACCAGACTCTGACGGTTCGTACTACCCCGCGCGCTTCCCAATACCTCCTTCACCTGCTATCATTCACCCCTCTTCGCCGCCATGAATGAGCCTGCTGCTGACCGCCACGAAACTTAGGCTCGTTGACCGCGCAACCACCCATGTGCCACGTCCACTGAACCTTCCCTCACTATCCCTACCCTACACGCGCCGCATCGTCCGTTCCAACTTTCGCTCGATTGCCTGCACATTGTCGCGTTTGTCCCAGAAACACTCACCGAGATAGTGCGCTCTTCGATTTGCAAGCTTGGCAGCAGCCCTTGCTTTTTAAGGGAGTTGTGCTAAGGAGTCAGTAGCCCTAGGAGCTTCCAAAGAAAACAATACGAAAGATGCCAAAATCTTCAACACTGTCGTTGGCTATGCGGGGCAAGCCCAAGGATAATGCCAACAACACACCCATGAGTCCAAAAAGCCCGAGGTCACCAGAGATGCCTGAGGATCTCGATTTTGCGACACCGAATGCCGCGTTTCACAACATGCCACAGTCACCCGCCTCTCCGAAACCTCGCAAAGACTCCAAGAGCATCTTCTCCAATTTCAGTGCCAACAAGTCGTCATCACGCCTCAACAGCCAGGGCAACTCGACACGCCAGCTTCCTGAAAACCAACACTCGCCCAGCCTATACTCTAATGGGCGCAGCGGTGCGTCCACACCAGACCTCGGCCGTCCTGTGCGCACCCCCAACTCCGACGGTATGGTTATGCCAGCTCAGGCAAATCTCCCCTCGCTAATTACCGCAGACAATCGCTCCGAAGTCGTACGCTTAGACCAACGGACAGGGTCAGGTAATTCCAACGACTCCTCCGATCCACACGCCGACTCCTCGAAACGCAACAACGTCAAACCGAAAAAGGGTATTCTGTCGCGATCCAAGTCCATCAAAGAAGGTGAGACTTCAGCGTCTCGCACAAAATTGAACAAAGCACCCCCAGGCCAACTTTCGCCGGACATTGCAGGTTCGTGGACGACCAACGGCGATGGTATGCCATTGAAGACGGCGCCAATGGATAAAGGTCAACCATGGCGAGGCATAGGCAAGCCACGGACACACTCGGCCGATCGTCAGGACGGATCCAAGCACATCCAACGGGATGCCGATTACGGTCAAAGAAGGGACAAGTCGGAACAGATCTCGTTAGCATCCAGCTCGTACAATGAAACGAAGGGACATGGTTTCATCTCAAAACTAGGTTCGGGGGCTCGCAATATGGGCGAGAAGATGGACTCGGCACGCAAGGGCGTATTTGGCAAACTGGGACGAAGCTCGAGCAATCACGAAAGCCAGACGCCCATATCGAACGAACCATATGTGTGCAAGATTATCCACAAGCCGTTGATTGAGCAGACGAGGCTGACAAGGATATCGACTCGTCTGGAACAGTCACGCGATAAGACTGAGTTCTGGATGCCAGCTCTGCCTTGGCGGTGCATAGAGTATGTTGTGCCTCGAACGGATCTGAGGACCAGGCTAACCATAAGCGTAGTTACCTGAACATGAGGGGTTGCGAAGAGGAAGGCTTGTATCGTGTTCCAGGATCAGCCCAACAGGTTCGGTATTATGAACGCAAATTCGATGAGGGTAAGATCGTCTTAATCGCTACTATGATACTTGCTCACCTAAGTCACAGACCGAGACATCGACTTGATCAGCGACCCCAACTTGAACGACCCAAACGTCATCGGCTCACTGTTCAAGAACTGGCTCCGACAACTGCCCGACGAGATCTTCCCAAAGGCAGTGCAGACCGCGATTCAACAAGAATGCCAGGGCGCCAAGACGACACCGCAAATGCTCAAGGATGAGCTCTCCAAGCTTCCCCCGTTTAATTACTACCTCTTATTCGCTATTACCTGCCATATCAGTCTGTTGCACTCCTGCTCTGAGTTCAACAAGATGAACTACAACAACCTATGCATCTGCTTCCAGCCAGCAATCAAGATTGACGCCTTTTGCTTCCAGTTCCTTATTCTGGATTGGCGAAACTGTTGGCAGGGTTGCTGGACGGAGAAAGACTTCTTGACGGACGAGATCAACTTCCTAAACGCTGTAGAAGTTGAGTCCCAGCAGCAACAGCAACAGCAGCAACATCAACAACTACAACAGCACACCTCCTCAAGGAATGGACCACCTCAAAGTGCTGGCAAGGGCAAAGGCAATAACTCGCCCCAAGTCCAGCCTTCAAAGAAGCCTGTTACGGCACGGAGTCAGTCTACGGACCACATTAAATCGTCCTCACGAGGACTTTCGTCGGAGAGAAGTGGACGCGCTACACCTCCGAACCCATCGCTGGTGTTGTCGGAACCCTCGAGTAACCCCGTGTTACGGATGCGGGGCGGCGGCGGCTATGGTGAGCGTGAGATTTCGCCTGAGCGAGTCATTTCGTCTTCAGACAGTCGTGATGGGGGCCATCATGCGCGGAGCACACCGCGTGCGCCGCCGTCGGTTAGCACCGAGGCGTCCTCAATCGACCTAGACGAGAACGCGACACCGACTCAAGCACAACATAGTCGCGGACCATCTGAATCGACGCAATTCCGACTAGACCTCCGGGATCCACCTGGCTCCCCATTCAACATTAAGTTCTGACGAGATGGTTGAAAGTACAACGAGTTATATGCTTAGCGCATGTCTTTGAGGCAACGATAGAAGAAGGGTTGGATTTGACCGCTTGATTTTCGCATGTTCGATTCGTCCCGTGTGGGCTGCCACGAGGTCGCGATACCCGTCCTTTGACCCCTCTGAGTTTGTGGCAGCAGTATTGCCCGATAATTGTTTAGTAGCCAGCGCTGGAGTTTGGACCGCGTATTGCTTAGCTGCTTATTTATTCCTGCATCATGTTGCATAAAGGCGTTGGAGAGTGGGCTGGGAAGAAGTAGCATTTGAGCGGGGTCATATGTACCATATGTGGATATCGTCGCATGGCAGAGCGCTGTTTCCATGGCAGTTTCAACGTATTCAACAATTTCCCTCGCAGTGCTCGTACCAACTGCTTCGAGTTGGGACCGAAAGCCTAGCCCCCGCGCTATTGGAGAACTTGCACCCAGGAACGGGGCGCGGACTGGGGTTAGAGCTTGGGGCAATGACGTTTCTCCCGCGGGTTGCGCTTGCGGCTCATATGCTTCGCGACCGCCCACCGCCGATCTCACACGTCTCCAGGCGCTGCTTCCTTCTCTCTCTCCACACACAGAGGGCAATTGACCCTCAGAAGCGACTGCGCACACGGCCACGGGACTGCCTTTATAATCTCAGCCGAGCCCATTGCTCCACCACTATACCACCACCTCTGTCTCCGACTGCATCACTGCCATTACTACGTCAAAGATAGATATCCTAGCGTACCATATACACCTATTGTCATTGTTTACCAACACAACACTCCCTCGCAACCATCCAGTCTCTTGACATCATCATGTCTGTAGCACTACCACACCACTCCAAGTCGTCGGACCGCAAGGTCGTCTACTTGCTGCCGTTGACCGACTATGGCTGCCCAGACGTCGCTGGCACCTACATCTACCTGCCTCCTCCCACCGAGCCAGCATACTCGATTTGCTTCCAGATCCAGGGTACCAGCTCGATATGTCGCGAGGGCAGTCTCTGGGTGAACATCCCCGCCCAGGGCGAAAAATTCAAGCGCAGCAACTACCGCGAGTACAAGTAAGCCGTCACCACTTCCTCATCCGGTCACATGTCGCTAATGTTTTGTGTAGGTTGAAGCCCGACTTCACGGGTATGTGTGAGATTGAGATTCCCATTCACGAGGCCAATGCCTTCTCTTTCTACACGACCTACAGGCCGCTGCCGCAGTGGTCCTTCACACACGTTGCATCTCCTGAACCCACACGAACGGACACATACTACATCGATATATGTCCAAATCTCAAGTTGCATGGCGAGCACTTGCCGGTCGAGGCTGTCTGCATCTTCTCTGCACTGTCCAAATTCATGGGCAGTTACCCCATCGACTGGGACAATCATTTGAGGGGAATCAGCGAGCGTGGCTACAATATGGTTCATTTCACTCCGCTTATGATGCGCGGGTCTTCCAATTCGCCATACAGCATTGCTGACCAACTGGTCTTCGACGAGGCCTTCTTCAAGGAGGGTGAGAAGGACATTGCGAACATGATCCGAAGGATGCAGAATGAGTTCAATCTGCTTGCTATGACCGATGTTGTCTGGAATCACACGGCCAACAACAGCCCATGGCTTGAGGAGCACCCAGAATCCGGTTACAACGTCGACACCGCTCCCCACTTGAAACCCGCCCTCGAGCTGGACACGGCGCTGTTGCAATTCGGCAAAGAGCTCACCCAACACGGTCTGCCCACAACCTTCAACAACGAAGGAGATCTCCTCAAGGTTATGGAAGGCGTTAAAGAACATGTCCTTAGCAAGGTCAAGCTCTGGGAATACTATGTCGTTGACGTTGAGAGGGACACCAAGGCCATCATGGAGGCTTGGACCTCCGGCCAGGCCAAGTTCGTTGATGGCAGCTTTAGTGAGGCTGGCCTTCGCGGGCTCGATGCTGTTAGGGACTGGCCACTGAAGCAGAAAGCCGACTGGTTGGTCGAGCATGCCCTGCGCGGCGGTGACCGCATGGGCGAGCGCTACCGTCGCAGGATGGACCCGAACATCAGTGCCGGTCTCCTCTGTGCTTTGTTCGGCCGCTATGATACTCGTACTAGCAACACGCCTGACAACCGCGCAGCTCAAGGCACTATGACAGCTATGCTCAACGAGGTAAACCTTCCATTTTACCGCGAGTACGATGGAGACCAAGCAGAGATCTTGGAGCAACTCTTCAACCGGATCAAATATGTCCGGATAGACGCTCATGGTCCCAAGCTTGGTGAAGTGAACGGCAAGAACCCACTCATCGAGACCTACTTCACACGATTACCACTCAACGAGACCACGAAGAAGCACAACCCGGAAGCTCTCGCTCTTGTCAACAACGGCTGGGTATGGGCTGCAGATGCGATGCGAGACAACGCTGGACCCAAGTCGAGAGCATACCTAAGGAGAGAAGTCATCGTCTGGGGTGATTGCGTCAAACTCCGTTACGGAGACGGTCCTGAAGATAACCCTTTTCTTTGGGACCACATGGCCAAGTACACGCGACTTATGGCCAAATACTTCCAAGGCTTCCGTATTGACAACTGCCATTCTACACCTCTGCATCTCGCTGAATATATGCTCGACGAAGCCCGCAGCGTCAACCCGAACGTCATGGTCTGTGCTGAACTCTTCACTGGCTCTGAAGAGATGGATTACAAGTTCTGCATGAGGCTCGGCATCTGTGCGCTAATTCGAGAGGCGATGCAATCGTGGAGTACTCAAGAGCTGAGTAGACTGGTCCATCGACATGGTGGTGTTCCTATTGGAAGCTTTGAGACTGATGAAGTACTCAACGCTGCACAGGCGACTGATGGAGCAGATCAGACAAAGCCAATCGTCAAAAGAATCAAGCGGAGTCCTGTACACGCGTTATTCATGGATTGCACGCATGACAATGAGACGCCTGCTCAGAAGCGGGATGCACGCGACACGCTGCCTAATGCTGCGCTCGTTGCCATGTGCGACTGTGCAACTGGTAGTGTTTTTGGCTACGACGAGGTTTACCCCGAGCTGATCGAGCTTGTGCATGAGAAGAGATTGTATTCTTCGGCCAATTCCAATGGAGGCCCAATCAAGCCCCAGGCTGGCGAAGGTGGTATTGGTGGCATCCGCAAGATCATCAACGAAGTCCACGTCAAGATGGGCAAGGAGGAGTACAACGAGACTTACATCCACCACGATAAAGAGTACATCACTGTTCATCGAGTGAATCCCAACACCAGGAAAGGATACTTCCTTATTGCTCACACTGCATTCCCAGGCTGTGGCGACGGCAACGGAGACTTTGGAGAGACCAAGCTACCGGGTACACAAGCAAAGCTCATTGGCGCCTGGAATCTTGAAGTCGATAACAGTCCTGAGACAAGAGCACGCATCATTGGCGACAAAACAACACTACGTGGCTTGCCCAGTAAGACAAACGACCTCCAAGGCGTCGAAATCAAGTCGGTTGGCGATGATACTACGATTGGCATCCCTGACAACTTCCCCCCTGGAAGTATCGCTCTCTTCGAGACCTGGGTACCCAGTGCAGAGCACGACGATGGTCTCGACAAGTTCATCACCAGCGGAGCGCGTGCAGCTTTCAGCGGTGTCAATCTGATCGATCTGAACTACATTTTGTACAGATGTGAAGAAGAAGAGCGAGATGCCACGGATCACAAGGACGGAACCTACAATATCCCAGGTCACGGCAATTTAGTATACGCTGGTCTGCAAGGCTGGTGGAGTGTACTACGTGACATTGTAAACGACAACAATCTCGGCCACCCGCTCTGCAACCATCTTCGTGATGGTCAATGGGCGCTCGACTATTGCCTTGGTCGTCTCCAGAAGATTTCTCAAAAGAAGAAGTACGTCAACATCAAGGGACCCGCCAAGTGGCTGGAGGCAAAGTTCGCTGCTATTCGCAAGGTTCCTAGCTACATGCTTCCACGATACTTTGCTATGGTCATCCAGACTGCATACAACGCTGCAGTGGAGCGAGCAATTGAGCTCATGGGCGAGAACGTCCGAGAGGGCAACCAGTTTCTGAAGAGCCTCGCCCTAGTCAGCTGCCAGGTCACTGGCTACATGAACAGTGCCTCGTTGTGGCCAGAGAAGAGCGTGCCCAGTATGGCCGCTGGTCTTCCTCACTTCGCCTACGACTGGGCCCGATGCTGGGGACGTGATATTACTATCTCAGCTCGTGGTCTCTACATGGGAACTGGCCGGTATGCTGATGCCAAGGAGCACATCTTTGCCTTCGCCAGCGTTCTCAAGCATGGAATGGTACCTAACCTTTTAGGCGGTGGCAAGAACCCGCGTTACAACTCCCGCGACTCAGTCTGGTTCTTCCTTCAGAACTGCCAGGACTACACCAAGATCGTGCCGAATGGCATAGAGCTTCTTCATGAGAAAGTCAAACGGCGATTCCTACCGTACGATGACACATGGTTTGCTCATACCGACAAGCGCGCATACTCCCAGTCCTCCACCATTGAGGATGTCATACAGGAAGCTCTGCAGCGACACGCTTCCGGCATAGAGTTCCGCGAGTACGATGCGGGCCCGAACATTGATAGTCAGATGAAGTCTGAAGGCTTCAACATCAAGATCTGGACTGACTGGGAGACCGGCATGATCTTTGGTGGCAATCAATGGAACTGCGGTACATGGATGGACAAGATGGGTGAGAGCGAGAAGGCCAGCAGCAAGGGTCACCCAGGTACGCCACGAGATGGCGCTCCGGTCGAGATCATCGGCATGTTGTACAGCACAGTGCGCTGGTGTGCCAACATGTACGATGCAGGCCAATTCAAGTACCAGGGTGTAAATCTGGAGGATGGCAAGAAGACTGTTACCTACAAGGAGTGGGCCGACCTTATCAAGGCCAATTTCGAGCGTTGCTTCTACGTTCCACGTTCCGCAGATGAGGACAGCAAGTACGATGTCAACCCGAGCATCATCAACCGTCGCGGTATCTACAAGGACTTGTACCGTTCGGGCAAGGAGTACGAAGACTACCAGTTGAGGCCAAACTTCCCTATCATGATGACGGTTGCGCCAGATCTTTGCGACCCCGAGCACGCTTTGCACGCCCTCCAGATGGCCGACAGGGTCCTGCTTGGTCCACAGGGCATGAAGACTCTCGATCCCTCTGATCTCAACTATCGTGGCTATTATATCAACAGCGAAGATTCGACTGATTTCCACACTTCCAAGGGCCGCAACTACCACCAAGGACCTGAGTGGCTTTGGCCCACAGGGTTCTTCCTACGAGCCATGCTCAAGTTCGATCTACAACGCCGCAAGACGCCCGATGAACGCGTCGAGAGCT